GTATATATATATATATATATATATATATATATATATATATATATATAGTGTGTGTGTGTGTGTGTGTGTGTGTTTGACCAGAGAATATAGCCGTAGTTGTTAGGATGCCAATCAAGGCAAATGCTAGCACAATCGGAATATAAGGATTACCTGAACAGTTTCGGCAACATATTTGGCCATGAGTCGTTGATCGCTTTCTCCCATGCCTCCCAATTCGATAGTAGCGGGTACACCTGAGCAGGCGAGTGTGATACTTTAGTGGGATATGAAGACGTCCACAGCGCAGCAACAACACTCAAGCCATATTTCTCATCGTCGCAGAGATTCAGCGAACCAATTATTCATCACGATCCCATACTGTGATTTGAAACCTGGGCTACCACACCTACGCAACACTATCCACGTCTTCAATTGCCTTCGGGTGACACAATAATTTTCAACGAGCCTTTAGTTTCTACTAAAGAATAACCTTTAATACCACTTACATATGTAGACCTTCACGGTTTCAAACGATAGCGTCAAGCCATGAGCTCGCTTATAGATCACCGTCAGTATTGATTGAGATGTATACATACTTTTATGGGTATTTAAGATTGGGATGTGCGTGTGGAGAACTAAACAATGAAACTTGAAGGCTGTCGAGCGCATCCATAGTAGCAACCGTGCATTTACAATACCAGGAATACAGGTACCAAGTTTACACACCAAATTGCTAAACAATGTAGCCAAAAAAACTTGTTCTGACCCTTTATACTCTTGAAAATTTACGAATGCATACCTATCTGCAACCGACTAAAAGCGGCTGGACATGACATCTTGTATTCTTTCATGAATTGCTCCAAGGTGCCCACATCTTCCTTTAGTAAATTCATGCATGTTTTGAACTGCGCGATGAGCTTCTCACACGTAGGAGTATATCTGTAGTAAAAACGCCCGATTTGTTCAGAAAGAAATACTGCAGTCAAAGGCAGTCGAGAGGCGACACAGAAATAACTCGAATTGGATACCGCACGTATTTTGTAAAAATACGTTATTCAACTCCACAAAAATATACATATTGTCTAGTACAGGGCATAGGCCTGCATTCTCACACACATACTCTCTTGGGGTGATCGAGTCTTTGATATACGCCTTTTCTAAGTGCTCCATTGTCTGAACGATGGCAAATAGATCCGCTTTATTGTCGTACACGGCTCGCTGCTGATTATTCGCATACAATTTCACCTCCTGTCAGATACAACCCATTAGTAACATATTGAACACGTTATGTGTACAATCAGCTCAAGTAAGGAGTCGAAAAAAAGGGACAAGAAAGG